ATTTTAAATGTATTTCAAATAATAGATTCTTCATAATTCAAATAAAATAGTATTCGTATATTCGTATTCTTCATAATTCAAATAAAATAGTATTCAAATGGGATATAAAATTTCAACAAATATATTTTATTTTGATAATGTAAAACGTAAAATAAAATAGTTTATTTTGGTAATGTATAGTTAAAGCATGAAAATAAATATTTTATTTTGATAATCTAACATATCAAATAAAATATGTTTCATTTTAATAACATAAAGTATAAAATAGAATGGAGAAACTATTTCTTGCAAATATTATGATTTCTTGCGATTGAAGAATATCTCTTTCCATCATTCATTTTATGAAGATTCTTATTGAAGATTCTTAATAGAAGTATTCATTGAAGAACTACATTGAATGTATGTTTATAATGCAGAGGAAGAGTACTTCGTTCGTTTTAGATTACCAAAATAAATATATTTTTTATCCAACTTCGAAAAAGGAAGAGTTACTCAATTCGATATATACATATATTTTGTTTACACTATAATTTAGTAAAATAAAATATTCCGAACTATGGTACAAAAATTTTCAGTGATTTTCAAATAAAATATTATTTGAAATATTATCTTAAAAATTTCTTACCACAAATAAAATATTTTATTTCAAAAAATACTTGCATGATTCGAAATAAAATATTTATTTACTATTTACTATTTAAAATACGTATTTTACCCAGCTGTGGTTGCATTTCAGCAACGGAGGGATTAATCCGTTACTTTAATTCTTCACTCGAAGTAACTTCTGCACTGTAGACTTTATCTTTTAAAGTTCCCTATAAATAAAAATTGAGAGGAGTTAATTCGGGGGATCTTGGAGGCCATAGATCTAGCTCTCCTCGACCAATCCACCTGTTATCATAATTTTCATTTAACCAATTTCTAACTGGCTTGGCATAATGTGATGGACAATCGTCTATCTACAGTGGATGTAGAATGTATTCGTACACCGATCAATTTCCCAAAAACTCTTTTGTGTGAAATTGTGGTTTCGTAAATTTTTTTTTTATAATCAATGATATTCTACATATTCTTAGAAATCTATAGAATAGATATAGTACATCCAAACAACAATTACTACTTTATATAACTTGCGAAATTAACAAGAATATACGAAAAATTGGTGGAAATGTAGAAGCAATAAGTATTTGTGCGATTCTTACGATGAATCATTTCCAGTAGAGTTTGTAACATAAACACATCAGTTTGTTGCTTTGTACGAATCAGAAAACATTCAATTTCTAGTAAAGTAGTTTTAAAAATGGCTCTAACAGAGAAACGGAAGAAGATCCCATTCCGAATAACATCGGCATTTAGGTAATTTAATGACTAAAAGAGTAGCAGTAATTATAAAATCAAAAGGAAATCCCACGAAGGAAGTATTAATTATTTATAAATTAATGTAAATTTCGTTTTTTTTTGTGAAGTTTTAAAAATTAAACAGTTGTACGAATACTTATTGCTTTCATATTTCTATCGATTTATGTTTTTTCTTGTTAATTTCGCAAATTATATAAATAACTGGTTTTTTTATAATGTATCCATTCTAGAGATTTCCAAGAATATATAAAATATCATTGTTTATAAAAAAGTAGTTAATAAATTACAACTTCACATAATTTTTTTGGAAATTGATCGGTGTACGAATACTTTCTACACTCACTGTATATCCAACTGTTTTGTCGAAGCATTAGTGGCACGTCTTCTACCAAATTTGGTAAATCGTTCGATAAGAATTTTTGAAAAAGCAGTCGATTCGATCTGCCAGGCAGAAAGAAAGGGCCAATAAACTGGTCGTTAATCATATCCATCCAAACATTACACCGAAACTCGTGTTGAAAATTTGTCGCGTGGAATATGGATTTTTGTGGAGGCATAGATGATAATTATGAAAATTGAATATGTCCTATCTTGTAAAAGTTGCTTCATCTGTCCATAATATCCGTAATGGGAAAGAATTCATCCGTGCCTACTGCATTTATGTATGAGGTTTTCCCGAAAGTTTCTTTCGCGAGTTGCACTCAATTATTTTATTATATGTGGTCGTGTTTATATAAATAGACAATCTAATTTCATAGATATTCATGTTGTAACAGTAATGGAGCAAAATCAATCGTGCACAATTCAGTAATGTAACATAAAACATAAACTATTGTGCCTGTATTACTTATTAATAAAGCAAAAGAAACTTTTGAGACAACCTAATACATACCAGATACTATAGACAAATAAGATAAATACTAGCTTCATTTTCTTATAACTTTGTAATAAAGCGTTTCTAAACAAACTTTAAATAATACTTTTTCTTTGTTTCCACTTGTAGGATATGTTCCCCAAGTTTGTTCATGGAAACCCGGGACACCCTCTATATACGGTAATCCCGACGAAAATTACAGGAGAGCAGAGAGGGTTATCGTGCGTTTCGTCACAGAGATCTTTGCGAGCGCGAGGACGGTAGTCTAGGAACCAACAGACACCCCACGATAACCGAACATACGGTTTCTCAACTTCGAGAAAACGTGTCGAGGAACACTTTGCCAGGCCACGCCTGATCGGCAGTAACTATGCTTTTGTGGAGACTTCAACGATCGAATCGAATGTACGTTTGGACCATCTTCAGTGCCAGTCTATACGTTATTAGTGCTTTTAAGACTTTCATAAATTGGAAAAATAGTGTCTTCGTTTTGCTCGTAATATTTGATTATTCTTCTAAATCATACAGTGGGTGTAGAATGTATTCGTACACTGATCAATTTCCCAAAAAAATTTTATGTAAAATTGTAGTTTATTAACTCCTTTTTTTTATAATTAATGATATTCTACATATTCTCCGAAATCTCTAGAATACAGTTCAAACAACAATTACTAGTTTATATAATTTGCGAAATTAACAAGAAAATACGAAAAATTGGTAGAAATATAGAAGCAATAAGTATTCAGCACGGTTCTTATGACGAACAATTTACAGTAGAATTTGTAACATAAGCACATCAGTTTATTGCTTCGTGGGAATTAGAAAATATTAAATTCCCAGTAAAAAGAAGACTTAAAAAATGCTCCAATAATGGAATGAAAGAAGATCCCACCCCGAATAACATCGACATTTATGATAGTTCATTTAATGCCTAGAAGAGTTGTAGTAATTATAAAATCAAAAGGAAATCTCACGAAATATTAATTATTTATAAAGTAATGTAAATTTCGTTTTTTTTTTAAACGAAGTTTTAAAAATTTAACACTTGTACGATTATTGCTTATTGCTTCTGTATTTCTATCGATTTATTGTTTTTTCTTGTTGATTTCTCATTTATACAAAATAACTAATCTTTTCGTACTGTATCTATTCTAGAGATTTCCAAGAATATGTAGAATATCACTGTTTATAAAAAAAAAGTTAATAAATCACAATTTCACATAGTTTTTTTGGAAATTGATCGGTGTACGAATACTTTCTACATCCACTGTATATTCCTTCAACTCTATTCTTAGATAAATAGTTTCTCAATAGTTGCTATTATTTTAGTTTGTTTTGAACTCTCTATAACCTAAATTATGTTTAGCTTCTGAAAAGAAGTCAAAGTTGTTTATAATTGTAAAGTAGTAGATAAATGGTTGAAGTGTTGGGTTAGATCAATTTATAAAACGATAAAGTATGGATTACAAGCCACAAGAATCTTAAATAATTTCAATGAAGTACTAAAATTTGTAATATTTTCGATTGTGTGATTGGGGATCTTTAATATATATATTATTGTAGTAGTATATATATTATATATATACCTAGTATATATATCCCCCCCTCCTACACTTTTAAAGTTATATCTCCTACATTGAAAAACAATGTTTTAAATTATCCTCTACTTGTTTAAAGCAGCATGATAGACTATTAAATTGTAAAAATGTATTGAATACAATGTATAAATGTTCGTACAACTCCTTGATTGACTTTGCGTGTGTTTGAACGTAAGTCTAGAGATGTTTAGTCTATTAGTCATGAAAATACCTGTAGCGCAACTGTGTTTAACGTAATGACAACACAGTAAAATCTCGAGAATTGTAGAAAAACTAGGAAAATTGTTAGAAGTATCGAGATTTGTATAAGTATCGTAGAATCTATGAAGTCCAATAAAGAATCTCCGATATATAAAATGCATATCGCCAACATGTGTGGCTCATGTGACTTTTCACGTAATCGTTTTATTTTATCAATCTCTTTTGTCTTATGTTTCAGCATCCAGAATTAAGCGAAAATCTATTGGATTAGAAAAACGTTTATCCGATCGAACAGTCAGATTTTTATTTATTCGCTGGGAGAGAAATCATTGTATGAAGCATATTCTAATTTTAACTCGATGAATAACGAATGAAAGAAAACAAAATTTGTTTGATCCCTGTTTGCAAAGTTCATAATTTTCTGACAAACCATTCCTGAGATACAATATCCAATCAGACCCCCATTATATACCTACATACATACAGAATTTAATAAAAAAATTGAACAACATTAACATCCCTGATATAAAGGTTGCCATACTAAATCTCATAATTTTCTGAGAATTTACTCCTAAAATATAAAGCAAAACAAACACCAACATACATATACACGTGCACTCATAAAGAAATTTGGTTTATATCGTTTGTTTTTTTTAATTCTTCGGTTCAGAGGACTTTAAAATATTAAGAAATGCAAAAAAGTCGAAAGGAACAATTTTTCATCCATCACACTCCATCCCCTTTTTGTTTTCAACAACCAGCAAAGATAAAAATTTGTTTTTGTTTCGTTAGTTGAAAAAGTTATCCAGGTAAGGATTTCGCCGATCTCTGGTTGCATAAAGATTTTAGCACTTTTGTATATGAATGAGCGACTGAAAGTCGCGTTAGAGTATTTTTCGGTAATCTTCCTTTGCTAAGGAAGAACCAAAAGAGGTCCTGCCGACATTCGATCCGATCATCGATGAGAAATCCCTGTTCAGAAGTATCTTTCTCTGTCCTTGGGCGCGCTGGAAATGAGTTCCCGTCGTTTCCAGACTGGCTGCGCCCCGGCGCGTTGATTTTGAGCTCCAGTTAACGAGGATGAGGAGGACATCGCTGCAGAGGACGAGGAACCACTCGACGACGTGGTTTTCCCTGCCAGGGTGTCAGAATCAGGGATGTGACGAGTCTGGTGCCTCGAATCGGTATAACGTCTCTTGGTATACTTTTTGCTCTCCGAGGAAATCGAGGAACTGGTTTTGCTCGGCTGTGAAAGGCTCATGCCAGCGTCAGGCCTCGAGATGTGCAACATCCTCTCGATGTCTGCGGTCTTCGACCTGGAAAACAAACGATCCTTTGGCTGGAGAAGCTTCTTCGCGTCACCTTGATGTTGTTAGTCGGTTGAAATAATCGCAACAGTTGCAGCACAGGTGGATGTCCATTGATCCTTTGCCCTGGCGCGTCGGTTGCTCTTGCGATAAAGGGCTGAACTCGGGCCAGACAATATTGGCCGCTCAAGGTCACTCAATAATCCCTCACCATAAGGTTTGGCTACTTCGTAACTCCGTCTCTCGTCTCCTCGATCATTCTTCACGTCTCCCACTGGGTTTGGGAGACATAAAGTGCTAACCTGCAGATACACACATTCTGTATCTCTAGGAGAAAATTTGATGATATTTGGCATTTAGTTTGATTGTTCCTGACGGGTGTTTCGATAGTCGATTAAAAGATGAAATGAATTTTTCAATTTAATACAATACATAGAAATTACATACAAATTTATTCAGGGTGGGGCAATAGCTTGTTCCAACTTGAATATCTTTGTTATTTATAGCCGTATGAAAAAACTTGTCAAGAGAAACATAAACATTTTTAAGAAGCACTTATAATGGTAGACAACAATTATTAGTGGAGTCATTTTTTTACGAGATATCAGGGTTATCAACGTTTTTGTAATGGAATACTAGAGTCTTTAAATCATTATGAAACAGTCGTTCTTAGAACGATTTCGGAACTGTGTAATACAAGGTCACGTAATCTCTATTAATAAGAGCGCAAACTGTAGGGAAATCTGTTTGACGAATGATTAAGGGGTTTGGAACATAAAAAAAAATCACTTTAACAAAATTTTTTTTTATTAAAATTTAAGCGATTCTGAACAATCATACGCAAAGAAAATTGAATTTAGAGCACTAGAAGCGGTAACCAAAATTTTTTGAAAAAAAAAAAAAAAATTGGAACTTTTTGTATATAAAATTTCTTCTCTTCTCACAAAAAAAGTTCGATGACACGAACTTAGTAAAAAGAACGCCATAAAACTATAAAAAATATAAAGAAATACAACTGACAACTTTCTCGAAGAGAAGATGCCCTTGAGATCTCATAAAATAATAACTTTGGAGAACATTATGTTCCACCATTATAAGTGCCTCAAAACACGATGCAACTTTACTGTAACAAATTATTTCATAGATAAATATAAATAACCGAGATATTCAAGGTAGAACTAAGTATTGCCCCACTCTGTATAGTACTTCGAAGATTAAACTAATAACACTGTCCAACAAATTTAAACTTTTTTTAAATTCCGCGATATCCACTAGGTGATTCTTATAGGGTTCCTCGTCCTAAATACGAATCAGGAAGTGAAATTGCTCCATCACCCTTAGTTTCCGAGAAATTCGCGATTTTGTAAATACGGTCGATTTTGAGAGAAAACGTAATACTACTTGAAAACTACGAACGCTAGAAAGTTCTATTTAGTCTTAAAAGTAGAGGAGTGTTTTCTAAATATAAAGACATATTCCCTTAGAATTATCTGCTCCTTTGAATGCCTGTAAATGAATACCGAATTTCAAAAAGCTGACGATTCTTTTGTATTTTAATGAAGAGTCATTCATCTAGGGCGATTTTATACTACGTTATCGGATTCTGCAAACATTTCTGAAGAGAAAACCACCCGCGGCAAATGTTGGAACGGTGTCTAATCCATACGGTTTGACAAAATATCAACTCGGAACGCATGAACGGTGTTTTGGCGCTCCACAGCCATTGCTCGCTGTGTTTCGGTCAGTTAGGGCCGTCTCTACGGGATTCGCCAAATCGGTGCCACGCGCTATCGGTTTTTGTATTACATTTACATGTTCCAGATAAGTAATTCTTCATTTTTAATATTTCATTTATACTGCAACTCAACAAAGCGGAGACAATTGTCCACTGTTTAAATTTTAATCATTAATTTCCCGTTTTTATATCTTCAATTATTCGACTTTTGCTAATTTGGTATTGAGCAAACTTTATTTAAATCTAAATTGAATTAGTTAACAATTAATTCAATCAATAATTATATATGTTGTTGTTAATTTTTAAACAAAAACTGCTACCTATAAAAAATCTTTCTTTAGAGCAGAGTTTACCCCCCAAACAGTAACTTAAATGACAAACGATTGAAGTATCGAAAAGTAGAAATATTAAGCTTTAAAATGGTTTTCTATTCGTCAATGTGGGGCGAATTTTAACGAAGTTACGAGAATTTGATGGTTATTATTCAAGTACGTGGCGACGATTGTGCAGAACGCATGACGACGGCCCTGATTCGCCGATTTAAAGCGAGCGAAGTCTGCGCGCCGGCAAACAGAATTCGTGCGTTCTAAATTAATATTTTCTGTATCTGTACGAACTAGAAAACGTTCCAACATTTACCGCAGGTAGTTTTCTCTTCAGAAATGTTTGCAGAATCCGATAATGCATAGTAAATTCGGCCTAGACGAATAAGTTTTCATAAAAATACAAAAGTACTTCGTGAAAAGTACTCGCATCGCCAACTTTTTGAACTTCGGTGTTCATTTACAGGCATTCAAAGGAGCAGATAATTCTAAAGGAATATGTCTTTATATTTAGAAAACACTCCTCTACTTTTAAGACTAAATAGAACTTTCTAGCGTTCGTAGTTTTCAAGTAGTATTACGTTTTCTCTCAAAATCGACCGTATTTACAAAATCGCGAATTTCTCGGAAACTAAGGGTGATGGAGCAATTTCACTTCCTGATTCGTATTTAGGACGAGGAACCCTATAAGAATCACCTAGTGAATATCGCGGAAAAAAAATCGTGTTGGAGAGTGTAATTATAATAAGTTTGTAATATAATACGATAGTGTTACAAATTTTATTAAGAAAACATTAACTAAAAGGCGTACAAAAAAGAACTTTAAATAATTTAAACTGAACTTGTACTATCTAAATTCTCTTCTAAACTCCTATATTATATACTCAATCCTATTATTATACACACGTAAAATATGAATTAGCTTGAATTAAAAGTATTTAGAGATGTCATTTCATATTTTTATTTTATGATTTGATAATAAATGTCAAACATTAATCTCGTTAATTTTAAATTGTATTATAATATATTGTATTACAAAGTTCTTATAATTATTTGTTTATAGTTTAGAAAATAAATGAAAACATTACTTCTGAAAAGTGTACCTATATTTTGAAACAAAGGCACTGTTTTATTGATTCGAAAAACGAAAACGTTAACCCGAGGTAAAAGGAGGCCTATCTAGCGTGATTCACTGTGGAGGATAGTGGTATTGAGCGGCCAATATTTTTTGTCTCATATATTTGGAAGAAGTACGCACGTTAAATGCACCTAATTTCAACACTAACAGTCATCGACACTCAATTTATTTCAATATTGATAGTTTAATTTAAAGTCTTATATTTATTTAACTATAATATATATATATTTTTTTATATATATATATATTTTATACATGTCTTATATACCTATATTATAGTTTTCATTTATACACATCTTATATGAATTATAGTTTTTTAATACCATAAGATATAGCAGAAAACAATACTCGAAGGAAAATACAAATTTTATTACTCAAATATTGAATACCATAAAACTTTGAATTAAACTTCTTTTATACCTGTTACTATTTTGCAGAAATTCATGATAGTATGGAAACACATAATTTTGTCACATAGTATGAGTGTATGAATACATAATTACTTGAACTACACTTCTGGAAAGTTTCATGGTGTTTTAGTTTTTTAATTACTGAACATTCTTTAGAAGACATCAACATATGGTTATGAACTCTGAAATTCGCAATCGAGTTCATACAATACTCTACTTTCTTATACTATTATACACTAGCGGACAAGCAAACCGGAACGATTTTTCAAATGCTCATAACTATGAGAGTTTGCAACCGATTTCGGTGAAACATCGGGAGGCGGTTAGGCAATCTGCCATTCTCCCGCTTTCCCTGCTTAGACGTTTCTCACACGATCGTACCGCGCTCCTACTGCCCAAGCGGTACCACGAAACGAGAATGAGAATGGCAGATTGCTTAACCGCCAGGCGCTTCTGCATGCCGACTCCGTCCGACCCACTTACATCCTGCAGATGGACCTGAAGTTGGGGGTGGGTTTTCCCAAAAAAACGACATTTTCGAATTTTATTGCTATTCACGCGAAAAAAAGACATCAAAACTGTGTCGCCCCAATGCCTTGGACCGTACCACATGTGTTCCACGCAACGAAACATCGTTCCAACTCTTACACTTGGGGATGGACCACCCCTACCTCTGCCTCCCTCTCTTCAGCTCCGTGGGCAGTTTTCGAAACGGGACCTTTTCGGCATTCATCCATAACGTATCGAGAACAAACATGGTGAATTTTATCACCCTCCGATGTGTGGAAGTGTTCCCTTACGAAGGGGGTTGAAAATTTGCGACCTGTTCCACCCCCACCCCCCCCCCAATGGGTGTCTATGGGGTGCACGGTATGAATGATAGCATTTTCTGGATCAGGGGAAAAATTGTGGATTTTAGGGTAGGTGGGAGGTTGTGGGGGTGGATTTGTCCGAGAAGGATTTTAAGGGGTGCATTCTGTAGAGGCCATCAAGAAGAGTCGCCCCAAAGGTTTTTTTGAATTTTTCAACCCCTTCCGTCATCCCTGGCCTGTTTCAAAGAGGCGTTTTTTTTACACCCTCCCCTTTAGGGGGGTGAATTAACCCCTTCACATCAACTCTCGCCAATGCAACTTTGCACACACCCAGAAGACACTTGAAGACTATTCCTCACGAAGTTTCACCGAAATCGGTTGAAAACTTTCATAGTTATGAGCATTTGAAAAATCATTCCGGTTTGCTTGTCCGCTAGTGTATAACCTAATGATGATACCCAGAATTGTATATTATTGTTCAAGGTGATGACTTCCAATAAACGTGTCGATAATTGGAACATGTACTTTATACAGTTAATGCTGAGATTAGTAGCTTCTGCGACTATACAGTAGACAAGATGTAGTAAGTGATAGTTATGGTTCTAAGAAGTTTTAGAAGCATTGTTACACAATGTTCACGGAATTCCAAACTTCTATAAAATCACAATGTGTTATAAAATGCAAGAGAACCGAAATTTCTGCGAATAATAAGAACGAAGAAATAAAAGTATAGAAGACTGTCTAAACAATTTATGTGAACCATTCCACTCCAGACTCATTATTTTTGTGTTCGATTGCGAAGATCTTATTCAAACTGAAATATGTTGCAATATACGAAATATGAAAATAGTGGATTCTAAAATCATTACTTTGTTGTTTTTAAAATTGTTTAAAAAATAGAATCCCTCAAAGATGGTATGTTTCTTACGAAGACTGTCTGCCTAATTGAATTTTTATATCCGGAACTACAAAGCATACGAACTTCGACTCTATTTATGTTCGAAAAGTTATTTGGAGGAGGGGAGGGGGGGGGGGCACGTTAGAAGGTCAAATATCAAGTATTTTTTGTAATTTTTTTTACAGAAAAAATGTTAATTAATGTTTTCTTGAGGATATTTTAGGTATGTTTTTAACACAGAAATCTGTGAGATATAGCAAGTTTTCGTACGAGTCTGTTAGCGGTCGAACTTCTAGAGATCACAATAGTTATTTGAAACCAACGAAACTATTTTCTTGCATTGTTACCATTTTTTCTAAGAATATCAACTAAACTGAAGAGTTGAATTTGTGACATGTATTTAAAGAGAAAGTATCAATGTTTATCACTTTTTCTGCAGCTTTTTGCAATAAAAAACACGAAATAATTTCATTACAATTTTCAGTTGTACATTCAAGGCACTTAAATAATGTAAACGTATGTAAAGTTAGAAAACGATCGGTCAATTAGTCTTTGAGTTATCATTTCCTCAGATTGGAGAAATGTATTTTCGAAAGAAACGCGATATTTAAAAAAAATTTCTGTGTGAAATGAATTGTAAAAATGATCAAATGTACTTTAAAATGTATCTTAAATATTCTCGATATTAAACAGAAAAGTTTTTTTCTGTGTTTTCGATTTGACAACCTTTAAACGGCCATAACTCCACCAAATTACAGTGTAAACTTAAAACTAAGTATACCATTCGAAAGAGCATTAAATTTTCCAACTCTCTGATATAAAATCTAAAGTTATTACCTAGGTTTAACAAGTGAAAAATTAGGTCAAACTTTACATTGTGAAAATTTCAAAAAATTTGACTTTTTCTGTATTCGTCTTTCGGTTTTAAATACATAGTTGTTTGGCAGGCACTTTTCGGGAAAAACTTTCTCGAAGTCTCAGCTTTTGAATGGTTTTGTCAAAAAAAATTCTACGGTGGTATTTTAGGGAGAAAATGACATTTGAATGCAGAAAAGCGAACGTTTTTAGGTAAAAATCGATATTTTTCAACGAAAATCGACTTGTCACTTTAAAATTAATTTGACATCGGGTTCGATGTATTTTTTAGTGATACTCCCGAGCCTCTCTAATTAGGAAAAAAACTGATTTTTTGAAACCTCAAGTCCCTCTCAGCCGTGTGTAGAGCCTGAGTGCGAGGTGAATAATAATTGTTTTTGAACACGTATCCATAGAATTTTCGTGTTTAGAGACTATTTAATCAAAATTAACCTCGGTGTACCGATAAATGATATGGAGATCGGAACACGATCGATTTTACAAAGCAAAAAATCGATGATTTCGGCGCAGGAGAACCGATAAGTTTTTATTTACGAGGCGGGCATTTTGAACGCTTTTTTGCATTTAAACGTCATTTTCTCCGTAAAATACTATCGTAGAATTTTTTTGACAATACCATTCCAAAGCTAAAACATCGAGGAAGTTTTTCCAGAAGAGTGCCCGCCAAAACACTATGTCTTTAAAGCCGAAAAACGGATAGAGAAAAAATCAAATATTTTGAAAGTTTCACAATGTAAAGTTTGACCTAATTTTTCACTTGTTAAATCTACGTAATAACTTTAGATTTTGCATCATGGAAATGGGAAATTCAACTCTCTTTCGAATGGTATACTTAGTTTTAAGTTTCCACCGTAATTTGGTGGAGTTATGGCCGTTGAAAGATTCTCAAGTGGAAAACACAGAAAAAATATTAAAAGTGAAAATTCTCGAGAATAAGGCGACACAAAGTAAATGTCTAAGAGTAATTTTTTGTTGGAAATTTGTTGAAGAATTGACACCCTGTGTATATCCGAACTTATACATAGACACCCTGTATATTCTTTTTCTTTTTTTTAAAATATCCTGAAAGACACTTGAAACTTCCCACCTGTGATTTCTCTGTTTAAAAGAGCGACGAAAGAAAAATGCAAGAGAGCTTTCGAAAGCAAGAATAATGAAGTAAGTGGAATGATCATAGACGACTTGACATTAGATCAAGCTTATCGATCGACCCGTCACCCTAATAACCGGGTGAACGTACGCTTGGGTACGTTGTGTTACATTGAACGGAGTCGACGAACCATCTGCAATGTTCTCTCGAATACCAGGACGCTAGCACCGATTCGATAACCCTTTACCCAATTCCTATCAATCTTCCAAGGAAGCACGCATAGTTTAGAAGGCAAGGATTCTCACCTGAGAACCGCGCCACCGATGCTGGTGATGCTAGGCGTGTAGGGCGCCGCGGCGCTCCTTGACGTCTCCTGATTGTTTGACCTGCTCACTTGACGCACCTCGCTCGAAGTTGTAAATGAAACCCTTTGGAGAACTGCTTGCTGGTCAGGTATATACGAAACCGCGGTCACGGCGCTGTCAGGACTCGCTGGGGGCGAGGATGCCCACGAAGGTGGCGAACTAGGTGCCTGGTCCCCTGACAAAGTAGCGGAAGAACCCACCGCGCTGTCGCTTCCATGCCTACCACCTTGTAACAGAACGTTACTTCATCATTACCGTTTTTATTATTAATGGCCTTTATCTTGGACATTCGTACTGTCTAAGTGATATATTACAAAGGACTTTTCAACAGTGGCTTTAGGATTTTATTTTTTAATAATTAAAATATCCTGTGGTGGACATTTAAACATTATCTTCCAATTGGAGGTACTCGTATGTACTTTCAATTAAAATAGCCGAACGATTACTAAAACTTTTCTTTCAATTCGCTACAGAGGAAAGAGAAAGAAAATAATTGGAAGTGATTCCGTTTAATTATGTTATTACACTGCACCTCTACCAATTGCTAATATGAAAAACAAAAATAACATTGATTTTATAATTATTCTACATTTATTCACAATATCCCGAGATTTAGAAAGGAGACCTACCTTCGCTACAACCAGAAATCGAACGCTGCCTCTGTCTTCTTGGCGGGGCGCTGGGTTGCTTGGGTGTTTCTTCGATGTAAGGAATGTCCGGATCGTCGAGGTTCAACGTGAACGGACCGGACATTGGTATGGTGAGACTAGCGGTGATTACCATGGGCGAGGATCTCCTTCGAGGATCTGCTGGATCCTCGCTAGAACCACTATCCACGCTGTTACTTCTGCCTTCCTCCTTTCTGCGACTTCCGGGCCTCTTTGACCGTCGCGGCCTTGGACCTATGTCTCCACCTATGCCAGCTGTTTGGTGTAGACACTGCTCTCTCGTCCACACCTAGAACATGGTAATTTCACCTTTCATTTACTCACAGTAGCGCAATGCTATTATGAGAAAAAAATGTGAATTATACATTCACATATGTTTTATACAAACACATTTTGAGTAACATGTCGCGAATATTTTTATAAAATAAAGGGGTTTCCATCTTAATAACAAAATATATTTGACGGTGTAACAGCGGTAAACATATTAATTCTTTCAGTATCTTGGGGGTTATTCATTACATGGTCAATCATCCTTACAGCAAAGTCATATTCTCGGTCATTGCTTGAACAAATATCGTTACTAATTAATGTAACTATTATCAGAAATTAATTTTTAGTTATTCCAGATACCAGATATATAAAAATTTCTCACGATTACTGTGTTTGATGAATACTTGTTCTAAACCGTGATTCTTATTAATATTTAATCGAAAACTGAATGTTTCTATATGCATTGTAAATATTCAATTAATTCGGAGATGTACATATTTAATGCATTTTAAAGTTTCAGATTATTACACCAATGTTCTTCGAGAATGTAATACAGTGGGTGTAGAAAGTATTCGTACACCAATCAATTTCCAAAAAAACTATGTAAAATTGTAATGTATTAATTTATTTTTTATAAACAATGACATTCTACATATTCTCGGAAATCTCTAGAATAGATAGATTACATAAAAAATAGTTATTTATGTAGGTTGCGAAATTAACAAGAAAAAAACAATTAATCGATAGAAATGTTGAAACAATAAATATTCGCACAACTGTTTAAAAGTACTTTACTGAAAATATGATGTTTTCTAATTCGTACGAAGTAATAAACTAATGTGTTTACGTTAAAAACTCTACTGTAAATAGTTCGTCATAAGAATCGTACAAATGCTTAATCCTTCTATACTTTTATCCACTTTTCGCATTTTTTTGTTAATTTCACAAATTATATCAACTAGTAAATGTTGTTTGGACTATATCTATCTTAGACACTTCCGAGAATATGTAAAATATCATTGATTATAAAAAAGGAAGTTAATAAACTACAATTTTACACAAAAGTTTTTTGGGAAATTGATCGGTGTACGAATACATTCTACACCCACTGTATTTCCGAACATGCAAAATTGAGAATAAAATTTAAATAAGTAATCGTGAGAAATTTGTCTATATTTTAATATCTATGGATTGGAACAATTAAAACTTAATATCTCCGACATAATTAAACATTTATGATACATATAGTATCATTCAGCGTTCGATTAAACATTAATAACAATAACGATTCAGAATAAGTATTCATTCGAGACATTAATTGTGAGAAATTTGTCAATATTCTAATATCTATTGATTGAACCAACTAAATATTAATTTCTGACAATAGTTAAATTAATTATTAAGAAGATTTATTATTTAAACAATGATGGAGAATATGATTTTGCTGTGATATTAATGTTTCACGAATTATTTTCTCGATGGATTCAACGAGCCTTCGAATTGAGCATCACGGGGTTGTTGTTCGCCCTTCCTCTTCTCTACTTCGAGAAGCACGAGCGAGCAGCGACCCTCGACCAACACAGGTATGCGATAGGTGAGACATCACTCTTCGACGATCCTTCGATCGATATGAATCTCGCGATCGCGCGTCCGCGTCTCGCGTCCTTCCAATTTTTGCGTAGTGTAGTTTCCCTTACTTATCGTAGCTTAGTATTGCTTGTGGGTGCCTTAGTTTGGTTTGGTTAATTTTAAGGCACGTAGCTTGGTATTGGAGTTTGGATTGGTTAGTTTTAAGGCATCTACTGTTATAAGGCATGAAAGAAGTAATATCGAGCTAATGGCTGGGAACTTGTAATAAGATCTTTAATATAAAAGGTGCAAAGTGCAAAGTGCAAAGTGTAAACTGCAATGTGTAAAGTAAATTTCCGGTTCTTGCAGGATTCCTGGGGCATCTTGTATATTAACATCAAGGTCTTGGGTGAAGCACCGCAAGAAACGCCAGAAAGAAATTTCATGATATTTAGAAGCCTGAAACATTTTTTCTTCACATTATTTATGTGAACTTTAAAGTTCATGTCAAAGTCAAAATTGATTCCTAGAAATTTGACTGTTTTGCAGTTTTAATAACACAGTTTTCTATTACAATTTCGGTTTTACCAGGCAGAATGCGTCTATTATTGAAGTGAATAAACACTGTTTTTCGAGGTGATAGTTTGCTGGAGCAATTTTTTGCTATCGTTAACGGTAGAAGAGCTACAGTAGACAACAATGTCATCTACGAATTGCGATATTTGACAGGATCCTTCCATGTTGCAAACCCTTCCAAGTTCCAAAAATTTTACAATCTAAGAAGATTACAAAATTCACTTGAAACATTTTTTTATCTAAAAATTTGACAAGTTCTAAAAGGAATAATGAAGTTAAGTTGGTCAAGTGTTGAGGGTTTTACCAGGGAATCGTGGTAAACGAACATTAAACAAATATATATTTAAAGGATAATAGGATATACAAAAGTATATATACGGTACATACTAAACGGCACAACGGTGCATGTAGCGTTCACATCGCAACAGATACAGGAAGTAGAAGAAGGCGCGGAATTCGAACATCATTCTAACATCAAGCGCCATAAAAAAACAATGGATAATACTTGAATGAATAAAATTACATTGACAAAAATTAATCATATTTTTTATTTAACCAACGAAAGCGGGATGAACTTTCTACTTAATCCAGTGTATTCTATATTATACTCTTTTTATATTCTGAATATTTATGAATTTCCTACCTTTCTCGTTGACGTCGTCGTCCCTGTTGTGGTCGTAGTCGATGTAGTCAGGGTCTCCTCAATCGAAAAGGTTTCAGCTTCGCTACACGGGTCCCCCTCGTCTCCGCACTGCCTATAAGAAAAACACACAAAACTCGCTGTCAACAGATTTCATTGCTACTCTAAGTGATTCGTGGGAGAGGAACAGTTTGAATTGGATTAAAAAATCGCGCTGATTTAAAGAAAACAGAAGGAAGAGAATTCGACGATTTTTGGAGAAAAAAATATGCTCACGATCAAGTCAAACTGCTCAGAAGCTTACCGAACTTTCTTAGTAAGAATAAAGTAAGGAATAGGGAGACTAGGAAAAAGAACAGTGGAATTGCTTCCTTCGCGTACTACTATAAATATTTCGTCATGCGTGTAATCACTTTCTTGAATTTCTCAGAAATTAAATTACCTTAACCCGTTGTCATTTGACAATTATTTGTTGACCAAGTTTACGTTTCAACTTATTATTACGTTATGCTAGTTCAGCGTATGGGTCCGGCCGTACCATTCATATTCCATGTAAAATAAGAGATATTCAGATGGGCTAGTTTAAGCGCGACACCCTGTATACTTTAAAATTAAACGTCTGACGAATTAAGAGAGAAAGCTGTTGGAAAATAACACTATATTTTCAAAGCTTAAAAGACTTAAAAGACAAAGCTCAAGTTTATATTGAAAGAGGATACTAATAAAAGACTCACTCGTCGGCACGACGAGAGAGAGCGAGATCCAATTCGGCTGGATGCGTGTCCATCATGTGCAAGTACACTTCATCCAAAAGGGCGGCTGGAACCATGAACAACGTTGCTGTGTGTTCCAGAAGTGCTCTCACCACGTTTATTACGTCTATTCTCTCTTCCGCCCTCTCAACGGACACCTCAGACCTTTGTCCAGGTTTCACGCAATGGAGGATGTTTGGTGCGAATACCTGGGCAGAATGATAAGGAATATTTCATTAAATAAACTGTTCAATAACTGTGATCAGTTTTACCAAGAAGTACCGTTATAAGAATTGTACTGTGTGCAGAGGTGGGTAATATTTGTAGAATAAATATTTTAAATACTATTTCAAATAATAGATTCTTCATAATTCAAATAAAATAGTATTTCAAATGGAATATAAAATTTCAGTAAATAAAATATTTTATTTTGATAATCTAACATATCAAATAAAATATGTTTCATTTTAATAACATAAAGTATAAAATATAATACTTTCCATAGTTCTTAATTTGAAAATAAACTGCGTATGTATGATACACAGATGGAGAAACTATTTCTTGCAAATATTATGATTTCTTGCGATTGAAGAATATCTCTTTTCATCATTCATTTTATGAAGATTCTTATTGAAGATTCTTAACAGAAGTATTCATTGAAGAACTACATTGAATGTATGTTTATAATGCAGAGGAAAAGTACTTCGTTCGTTTTAGATTACCAAAATAAATATATTTTTTATCTAACTTCGAAAAAGGAAAAGTTACTCAATTCGATATATACATATATTTTGTTTACACTATAATTTAGTAAAATAAAATATTCCGAACTTTGGTACAAAAATTTTCAGTGATTTTCAAATAAAATATTATTTGAAATATTATCTTAAAAATTTCTTATGACAAATAAAATATTTCATTTCAAAAAATACTTGCATGTTCCGAAATAAAATATTTTATTTTTAAAGAAACATTTATTTACTATTTACTATTTAAAATACGTATTTTACCCAGCTCTGACTGTGTGCATGTATTACCCAGAAAATTAAATCCACTCTTTACAAGTTCTTCCGTAATTATATTTAAGTATTTACTACTATTTTTATGAGCTAGAATGCTACAATAATGATAATACTCCACCCTACAAAGTCTACAACCAAAAGATTTAATATGCATTTAATTCTATTATTTGTTGCACAAATAAAGATGCCAATAAAAATTCAACTTCATAGGATTCTATACTTCCATTGGAAGCCTACATAAGAAACTTCAGCGAACAACTGCAACAAATAAGGTGGATCGAATGACGTCTAGAAGCTTTAAAACATTTTATTCTTGTACGAACTGCTTAGGGAGACTCTTAATTAAAATCTCACAGCAGACAAGGGGACAAAGTTGAAAGTTCCGATTAATTTCGCGACACTCAATCGAGAAGGTACTTACTGTCGCCAAGTTAGTCGAGTCCATTTTATTCCCGGGCACCCAGTCACCAGCTTCGGTCTTCTGATCGTCGCTGTTCGCCGCCACCACACTGAGAAAGTTCAAAAGTGCCCAGAGAGTCTCGCGGTTCGGCGTGGGCAGCAGCTGAATGAGATGCTGAAGAGCTTCTTGCTGAAGTCGCCTGTTCCGGATCTCTGAGAGAAACGGGGCTCTTTAAGTGCAAACTGGCTCGTCCGTCAAAGTCGAGAGAGAAAAGCTATTCAACTACAGTATCGAATTTTCTCATTCACAGCGTGATCAACCAAATATGTTACACTTGGTATTAACACTAAACCTACCGACATTTTACTTGTACCTATTTCTATCGCGATCAATCAATGACTGGTCTTGAAAACATTTTTTTCAATTAAATGCAAAAATGTTTTACCTAGCACTGAATTCAATAATATATAAATGAATTGTATATATGTAATAATGTATATATTGTTCCGGATAGAATTCAAGTGTCGGCAGAATTTAGGCTCCTTTGTAATCGTGTGCCGTTAAGTCGTTAATATTCTTCCTCGAGCAACGCGGAGAACTGAACGGAGGGCCAACAATAGTTCATGACATACTCGCGAAATATGTCGCTTTCGGTTGTAGCTGATTGCCGTCAATATCAAGCCAGATGTGACCGTTTCGAGGTCTTTAGAATTCCGCATGGTTCCGAGGCTCGGCGGCCGGCCATACCATAAATTCGGAAAAACCCACGAGCGCGTTGGGCCTTCCGTGAGTCACCAGGCGACCACCTACCCCTAGTTCCGAGGCCGTGGGGAAGACACCGTGACGGGGGTGAGCGTGGGACGAAAAGCGGCCTGATTGGGCCTTGTTCCTAAGATCGGGCCCCAGTCGGACGCCCCTTAGGCGCCTAGGGGTGGCAACGAAGACGGGCAAGGGGCATTGCGAGGTGTCGTCGGTCGTCACTGGCGACACGAATTTAATTCTGAGCGGAACAGTCGTCCGATAAGGGAATTCTCATTCGGATGAGATTCCCATGTTGCAAGTCTTCGGATATTTCGATTTGAACTCTCGAATAATATAGTTCGGTTTCTTGACGTAAATCAAGTGTGTACATTTACTTCGACATCCCGTTTTATCCTGAACATATATTGTATTAGGTTGTCCCAAAAGTTTCTTTTGCTTTATTAATAAGTAATACATGCACAATATTTTATGTTTTATGTTACATTACTGAATTGTGCACGATTCATTTTGCTCCATTATTGTTACAACATGAATATCTATGAAATTAGATTGTCTATTTATATAAACACGACCACATAAAATAATTGAGTGCAATTCTCGAAAGAAACTTTCGGAACAACCTAATACATAAAAACTGTATAGAAAAGTTTGGAAACAATCACTTGACAGGTCGTGGTGGGGTTAATTATAGAGAACAGATACATCCTCACCGATTTCGATGATTTTTAAATATGTTGTAGAAATCAACATTTTGAACAACTTTTTTCTATACATATAGCCGTCGTTCAACAATGAATATTGCGTATAGTTACGCGTCTGTGGCAGCGTGTGTGTAAGCGTTGAGTCGTCGATTATTTAGGGTTGAATTCATAATCACTCTAAATTAGTTGTATGAGAAAATTTGTAAGAATGACTGAAAATAACTGACATAATAACGAAATAAAAACAGAAAAAATTATTACTTTAAAATTGTAGATGTTATTTTATAAAATGAAGCTACTATATTTACTAATTTCGTAACATTTATATTAATTTTACTGTACCGAAGAGAAGTGAAAATTAAAGTAACTACGTAATGCGTGTTTATTTATTTCTCTAAGCTGTGAAACATATAATACAATAATATAACTTTGCTAAAATGAAAATGAAACTACATTTATTAATGGGTTACTTTTAAGTCATACAAAGTATGATGCAGTTAATTACGGATAACTCCCTAAATAATTTGATTATAAAGAAAAAAATTGCGATAAAAGTCAGTTGTACATCAACGTTACATTATTTAATTTTTCTTGTTTCACACGGCAAATTCAGCGTTAAAATTAGTAAAGTAATATTTTTAGTAGAAAGTGCTATCTACTAATCAGCTTCGTTTAACAGACAGTTGGTAATTCCTTTCTAGCATTAACTGTGAATCCTTGATGGGATCGATTTAAACTACAAACGTTAATCAAGCTCACGAACGAAATCTTCTTAACTTAAACAGCTTATACTGCCAGATTACGATTTTCATTTTGTTTGATCTTACTTTGTGTGTGAACGAAGGCTTGGTACAGATCCCTGCAAAGTAGAGGATCTGGCAGATCCCGAAAAAACTCTTTCAACAGGGCTGCAACGTCATGAGGACATTGATCGGGGCCAATTTTTGTCTCACGGCCGCAATCGAAGTCTTCCCTTAACTGTAAAAGTGTTGATTGAAACTAAAATATTTATTTTATTTGAAATTATCATTCATGCTTGTAGTATGAAAAACTAAATTAAAGACGCAGATAATCAGTGCATTATTACTTAGGACAATAAACATGAAACCCTCTTATTTAGGTCTTCTACAAGACATACAAAAATATAATCAGGGACTAGCTGATGTCTTCTTTAACATACAAAAATATTGTCAGGATTTGGATTCAGTCTCTTTCGATATATACGAATTAATAAAATTAGGATTAATGAATGTTCTTCTTTTGTGTATCGAAGGGAACGTAAAACTGAAGGTTGAAATTCATAGTACTCTAAATGATGTATTTTTAAATTGAATTTTATTTATTTTAATGTAACCCGCTTTCAAGACGCAAATATTGTTTATTATTACTAGACTGCGGAAGTTTATGCTCGATAAATATGTAACATGCATATACAAAATATGCACGAAAAATATCCAAAATATGCACGAAAAATTTGAATAAAATGTAGTACAATAAGTAACATGTTAGTATGTTACAGAATATTCACTATCTACACATATATAAAATACTTTTCACAATTATTCTGGTATATTATAATTCGCGTGACAATAAATTACAAGCATTTTTTCCAAATTTAATGGTTTTAGTTGGTGGCGTTTGTCTGTTACAATTAATTTATACGCGGAGAACGATCGCTCTACGCCACACGAAGTAATCAGTGCGTATTTAAATTTAGAACAACATTGTTCCGGCGCACTTATTGGTCCTTGAACGCCGTCGTTATTTAAAATATTAGAAATTTTCGATAACGTAGAAAATCCTACATTCTTTTCTAAAGTTCTTTTACATTTTTTTTTAATCTTTTCACCGCAATCACCAGGAATACTTTTTAGATGTATTATACTATTCATATGTTCCTCGGTTTCACATGAATTCCCAGTTTATTCGATTTTCCTCTTATGTGTCCCGGTATTTATGTGTTGGTTTAAATGCGATTTTGTTTCACACTTCACATTTTTATTGGAAATTTTGCAATAAATGCTTCTGTCATCGTTATCATTATTGTCGTTGTCATTAATAATAAAATTGGAATCGTTTTTGATGCAACTTAGCATTAATGCTTTTTTACTTTTTCTAACTTTTGGCATTTTTAGAAAATTAAGAGACACTTAAATATGTTCACTTCTTCACAGAGATCACATTAACTGCGATAATTAAACTGAAGTATTCAAATTCGAAAGACAAACTGTTACACCTAACGGTCGATTAGCAACACAAGGTTACAGAAATATGGTTTCATATGGCCTGTATTTATGTAAACACTACACAATTATGATACGAAAGTATGGCGATAGACGAAACTAATTTGTCGAGATAGATATTTTACATAACCACGATAAATAACATATACAATATATTATTGCATATATTTTTAAACATGAATCTGCAAAATATGCAAAATAAAAAATGTATTTTTATAGCACGCTAATTTCAAAACAAATTTCTGTCTAAGTCCGATTCTTTTAACTATTTCCTATAAAAATATGCATTTGCATAAACTTCCGCAGTCTAATTATATATAGCGATATTTAAATAATATTAAGCGTTGAGGAATACTGAAAGGCTCAAACAAAATACCTGTCTCACTCTCTTCTTCGATGGCGACACCCGAAATACGCCTAACGTTCGAAGTCCCGTGTTTTCCAAATGCCTGATGCATTGTCTGACCACTGCTGGTACAGCGTCCCATTCTCCTGGAGGGCCCCCTCCACCGCTGTCGCTGAGTTCCAGGACTCCAGAATCGCTTCCAGTCAGAGCTCCTTTCGACGACAGAGACTCGCACGAGCCACCCTGAAAAAACATTTTTTTGCAAAATATAAACGTCAACATTTCCTCTATCTTTTGTAATAATGAAAAAATAAAATGACATCTTACAGTTGTTAGTTACTCAGCATTCAACATTAAGTCGTTTTTCTTATAACTTTGTTTTATAACTTTATTTGTAACTTTTAATTAATATATATTTATCATCGACCACTGTTTCCTATGTTTACCTTGCTTTTTACTATATCTATTCTTTGATATATATTTTAAAAAGGGGACAGAAATAGAACATTTAAAATTCTTATATTTATATATAGTACGAACCGATGCTAATTTCAGATCAAATGTATTGTTCTTACCTAATTACTTTACTTTAGAAGCAGTACATAATTGAATTCTTGTTACAATTATTAAGTATTAATATCAGTATCAGGTATTTTTCTTTCTAAATCATATCACAGTCTCTAAAAGACCAGGAATCTTCTTTTAAACTACTTTATTAGTTTAAAGCACCAAGAACCACTGACTCACAGGATTAACGAGTGTCATCGAATTACTTCCGTCATTCAGATGACGATCAACGGGAGTGACGAGCGTTTGACGTCTCTAAAGAACAGTCGCAGCTTTCATTCGTCTGGTTTGACAGAGAATCTTGCAAAATTGCGGGATCCTAATTAATCCTTTGGTTAAAATTGGCTCTCCCTCGTCGTTGTTCTATTTGCGTCTTCGATCTGTGACGTCACAGTCACATTGAGATACACGTGACGTCGACGAGCCAGCGCGCGCGCATAAGAGAGAGAGAAAGAGAGAGAGAGAGAGAGAGAGAGAGAGAGAGAGAGAGAGAGAGAGATTCATGACGTGTCGTTATCCTCGAAATCGCTTGAAATTGATCAATCGTACATGGGCTATTTAAATCTGGCCTTTCATCGAGACGCTGCCCTCTAAACGTTCACCACGAGCTTTATCAGTAAACTGCACGTGTCTATCGATGTAACATTCTACGAGAAACAGTGGCCAAGTGGAGAACCAGGATCGAGCATCGATCAAACTTCTAGTCGATATTTTTAAGCGCGAGGCAATCTTTCTCGGTTTCGTTGGACTTTCGAGGATTTCGATGACTCTCCAAGATGAATCGATTTTAAACATCGAATAGCGAAGAGCGCGTGGGAAGTGTTTACAGTGATCACTGCCACGTAAGTTTCGAATTATTTTGAAATTGCGTACTCTTGATCGATCTACATTTCTTTCGAACGTCAAATGTTACAATGTACGATTGTGCACGATAGTATCCACTCTATCGTATTTGAAGTATTTCATCAACTTCAGAGTTGAAATTCTCTATTCTAATTCACCTCAATATCAACATCGAGTATTTCACCTAAATTGAGCACCACCATATATCGCTCATTTTGTAGGATAGAAGAAATATCATGTGGAAAGATGTTCTGTTCGAAGGGGCCAATACGGTGATAAGCCGAATTTTTTCTCTCAAGGTCATTCTTTCCGAGATTTCAAGGTCATTGTATTTTTTTTAAATGGGATTGCATATTTTTACTACAACAAACTTATAGCTTATAAAAAAAACGAATCCAATTACGTGCATTATTTTGACCTTCACTTTGGGGAGGGGTACCGAGGTTTCTTTCAAACGCTAACAGCGCCCCCTGCCCCCGTGCCTCCGCCACTATGCGATGGTAGAGTGCCGTCTCCGGTGATTTCATAAATGTTGGATCATGGAATTCGTAAAAGAAGAAATTCACAGTTTTTAAATACGTTACATCAAATCCTTTATTGTTAGGACACGGAAAGACGTCTTTTCGCTACAAGATTCGAACTGAGAGTGAGAGCTTTTTCCAAAGCGCATAGAAAAACCGACGCCTACGTCGTAGAAGAAAAATACGGCTTCGGTCTGCCACATGTTTTTCACACTGCTCTCTTGAACACAAATACTGTCAGAGGCCCATCTACGAAGGCAGCGGAAAAGAAACTTTCACTTTTGAGAAACGCAGTGTCCCTCAGCTCTAGATTTATTTTTGTTACGTTTATTATTAAATAAACCAAAAATAAATACTACCTACCCTAAACTTTATTGTAGACTTCTAGGTCATTCTCAAGTAGGGAATGTGCATCGGTGCGTATTTCTCCTGTACGATTACGTATATGTGCGACCGTACGAACAGCGTGCAGCGGAAATCACGCTATTAAATTTTATCTGCTTATAACTCGATCACGAAGCTCCAAATCGCGAACTGGTAAGGACTTTTTGTTTTCTGTTTTTGTGTAGACTTGATCTTCAAAAAAAGTCCTACATATTTCGAAACAACCAGTATACAAGAAGAAACATTTTTCATATCTAGAGATGCGGTAGCGTCTCGGCGCCAAGTATATGAAAAATTATCCGTTACCGCGTATATATGGCGTTGGAGCTACCACGTATCTTTTACAGGAAAGATGGTCCATTCAAACCTAACCTGAAACTTCTTTCTTGAATATCTCAACACGTCTGCAATGTTTTCTAAACTTAAAGACATTTGTCTAATGTAAACCGCACATAAGCTTTCGAATAAAACCAAAATCAATAAAATCGGTCCACGTACAACTGAGATATCGAAATATCATGTCATGAATCTGTCAGAAACGGTATTTTTCGAATGATTTTCCCGTCGACAACCCTTAGCCAATAGGAGTTAAGCAAAAGCCAAGTGTCGTTCGTCGACTCTCGAAATCATTTGGTTCGGCATGGCTCGCCGGTCATCGAGCGTCGAGAGTCGAAACAGATGTCATCATTCATAACCTGTCAAGTGTCAAAAGTTTTTACACTATTGCATTATTAATTATATTTATATTAGCAAAATGTTTTCAATTTATACTTTTTATGTAGAGCTTTTAGAAATGTAGTCATTTTCTCATTTCATCATTAACATTAAAATTTTCTTACAGTAAGAAAAACAATTGCAGGTATATATAATTATTTATAAATTGAACGAATCTATATATATATATATATATATATATATATATATATATATATATATATATATATATTATATAAATACACGTTCTTTTTCTATTTTCTTGTAGTTTTTTATGGGGATCTTCTATTTTTCAATGATAACTCCTTGAGTCCTCCACTTTTTCATGTACTTGGCGTAATTTTTTTACTTTTTTGATCTAAGAACTACGACAATATTTATATCAGAATTGTCTATGTTAACCTTAAAATTAAAACGGTATATAAGTAATATATTACGTGTCTAAATTTGAGAAATTGTTTTACATATATACGTCATATAGTACTAGAATAACAAACGTAAAATGGAGCGTCTAATTTTGCTGAATGATTTCTCTTAACGAATCAAATATTGAATCTACCCTCCTACTCGTGTATACCAAATGGTACATCCAGTTTTACCACTGATTGCTTACAGGAAGTCGAGGGTGGCATTGTCGTAGACGAAGCCGCATCAAATCAATGCTATTTACACGGAGTGTGAATCACGCTTCTCTTTTACGAACAGTCGATCTATGTATTTCCAGTGGAAAACTGATGAAAATTTACATTCCAAGGGGCTTAAATTTCCTGCCGCAGTTTGTAAATTTCCACGTTAAATGTAATCGAAAAAATTAATCGTGAGTATACATGGTATACGTATTACATTTAAAATTTCCCGTAATAAATAGTGTTTCTAATGCTGTTGCATACTTGAAAATTGAATCTCTATCAGGTGCAGGGGCGAAATTGTCATAAATATCCTACGTAGATGCAATATTATGCATATTTGTATAAAAAAATAAGAGGAGATGACTAGGTTTCTCGACTAAGAAAATCATATTGTCTGTTGGCGTCAATTAACATTCCGCAGATATTATAGGAAAATATTCGAGTAATTTTAGGTTACATTGCGACGTTACAGAGAACACGAGTGAATTTTAGGTATTTTAATATTATCGAAATTCTGTTACCGATACAATATTACTTATTTATATCGAGAAGTTTATCTTCGTTAGCTTTTAAATTTTTCGTGATTGAAAAATAAAATAATCTGTAAAATATATTAGCTGACGACTTATCGGCAAATATTTATAAAAAAGAAACCTTTCACGAGTAAAACAATTACGCAATATAATTCAAACAACAGAAGATAGAAATTAAATAACAATAATACTAAATTAGAATTTTTTGATCTATGATATGATAAAATCCATAATCATTCGCAATAAATAAATTATTAATAACTGATCAATCATTTTAAATTGTATTAAATTTATTTCCACATTGAAATAATTCTACTTGTAGAGAATGTATAATGGATTAACTTATGAACTCGTAAAGGTAATTCCAATTATTTACATTAACAATAAAACATTTCATGTTTTCTATATAAAACTGATTTAAATTCATTCATTTGGAAGAAATTGTTATTGTGTGTCAATTATAAAAATACCATTCTTTACATTATTCCTCTTCGATGATAAGAAGTATATAATCTTATAATTTCCAAATTATGTTATATTTGTATTTCTATTACAATTAACATTTTCGCTCGAAAAAAAAGAGGATATACAATACAAAACTAGTCATGGATATGTGACTAAAAATTAACTTGCATAATGTAAATTTGATGCAAAATTATAATAAATTCATTCTAATTTCGCGTTATAATACGGTATAACGATTTATGTCTCATGGACAAATGGTTTGACCGAATGACTACCACATACTATAATATAATACATTCATTTATGAGTAAGATAAAAATTATGTAAATCATAAATGAAGAAATAGAAAATGGAAAGTTTTAAAAATTAAAAAAAAGGCTGAAGAGTAGATGAAAGATCATGACGAAAAACATTTTTTCCCTATAGACAAAAATGAAGTTTGTATGGAGATTTTAATTATGTAGATTCTATCGCCAATGAGAAAAGAAAACCAGTTTTCTTAATTATATCGATTGAGAATTCATTTCCTACGAATTATATACAAATTCAATGTTAAAGACGAACAGTAAATCACAGTTCCATAAATA